AGTAGCTCCACCACATCTATACAAGACACTTTCGTGAAGGAAGAGAGGAGGAGAGAAAACCCTAGCCGTCATTAGCGCAACCAGAACAGAGAGTAGAGATCCGGGGAACCATCAGGGATCTTCGTAATTTTCGTGTTTTCATCTCCATCATCATTTCACCCTTCACTATTGTAAGAGGAATTCCAAGTTGTAAGATCGTGTTGTAAACTCTATTCATACTCATCTGGAGATCAAGACTATTTGGATCGTTTATTTCATCATGGATCTTCCTTGTGCTATTGATATGGTTTCCGTTGGTTTATTCTCTGAGATGATTGGCTATTCTCTTATGATGCGTGAGTAGTTCCCCCTAAGCGTGGGAGATGTAGGTGAGTGGTAAGATTCATTTGCGCCTGATCTATATGTCGCATTTGTGTTTGTAGTCTTATGGTCTATCTAGTATGTTGCTATACTGTGGTGAACTCTATATGCATATTGTTCAATTTAAGGGTCTAGGCGACATGATCTCAAGACCCACACAACTAACACATATTGTTTAGGAAATCAGCGACCTCTGATGTGACAAGTGGAGACATCTATGAGGAGACAATATGAGATAACAGTGATCCATTAAACTTAATACTTGGTTCTGGTCCAAGGAACTTAATTGTGGAGACGACTAGTATGTGGCAACGGCGAAGCGGGACCGTAGAATTGAATGTAACCCGCGAGGCGGAGATTCATGAACTTAGGGCAATCCGCCTACTGAACAAACAAATCAAATAATATATTCATGATACAAGGTAACTGGTATTACCATCACACTGGCACATTTGATATATACGATGAACTGAATTCTTTCTGCGCCTAACCTCTCCATTGCAGGAAACACAACTTTACTTTTTGTTTTATTTATGCTCTTTACTTTCAAGTGTTATTACTCTTGTTGCTACCAACTCATCCTATTTACTACTCTATTCATTTGCCTCTTGGAACAGTAACAATGTTTGCAGATCACAAGCAGTTACTTCACATGATAATTGTGACAACTTGTGTGTGATGAAAATTTTATTTATAATATTCTCCTCCGCTCTTCGTTGGGACGATAACTAGTTGGGATACTTCTGCGAAAGTTCCACACCACCCTATATGTCTTGTGGGCCATCAAGCAACTAGGTCTGGCGCGGTGGTGGCGGGGCGCACGGGCGGTGGTTCCATTGGAAATTCTTCCAGGTTTGCATGAGCGTCCCTGGACTTTTCAATAGCTTGTGAAAGATGAAATGTCTCTAAACTTGAATTATGTAAATTAAATTTTCGATGTCGACATGTGAGTCAACCTAGGTCTTACTCCAGTTGGGTCGAACTAATCTTGATTTTCCTCATTCTTTTGAAATGCTAATGTGAAGATATTTATCGAAACCGTCTACTCCCATTGGACCCCAAATTTTGAAACTGAAAGGCTTTGTTGTGGTTGTTGTCTACTTCCTTCGCTTGAGTTTATATTGGGTACAAATTTTTAGCTCTTCAATTTGACAGTAAAACATGTGTTATAAGTTAAATCATCGTGAAATGAAGTTTCTAAATGCATATTTTGTGACATATTACACATGCTTTGTTATTTTTTTGCGAAAACCTTTGTTAGTTAAATTAATTAAACTAGTATTGTACGCATCCTGTCGGTGTCGTAATATGTCTTCGACGTATCCATAATTTTTTATTGTGTCATGCTATTATCATACCACTTTTACATATTTTTGGCAATAATTTATATTATTTCTATTTGGACCAACCTATTTACCGAGTGCCAAATGCTAGTTCATGTTTTATATCGTTTTGGGGTTTTTAGGTGAATTTTGTTATAGGCCCTGGAATTTTTTGTGAATTTTTTATTGGAATTATCAGAATTTTTTGCGCAAGAATCAACGCAAGACGAGGCCCATGGGCCCCACAAGGGCAGGGGCGCGAGCATCCCCTGGCCGTGCCATGAGGGATTGTGATGAATCCTTAAGTCGGTTGGGGCTCTTCTTTCGTTGCAAGAAAGGTAATTTTCGGAGAAAAATCCCCTCAAAATTTCAGCCCAATCGCAGTTAAGAAACTCTGGCTATTTAAGAAATGGTGTTCACCCAGAAGAGTCAAAACAAAGAGGAACAAAGGATGGGAATTCCAATATCAGAGGGGCTCCCGCCCTCCGGGAGTCATGGAGTTCAAGGACTAGAGGGGGAACCCTTCTCCCATCTATGGGGAAGGTCAAGCAAGAGCGAGAAGGAGGGCCCTCTCTCCCCCTCTCTCCCGGTGGCGCCGGAGCGCCACCAGGAATCATCATGATGGCGGTCATCTCCAACAACTTCACCGCCGTCATCACCATCTTTCTCCCTCTCCGTGTTGCGGTATACTCTCTCTCTCTCTCTCATCCCGTTGTAATCCCTACTTAAACATGGTGTTTGATACTATATATTATTATCCCATGATGTGTTGCATCTCTATTACGTGTGAGTAGTTTCTTTTTGTCCCAGGGGTAATTGTGATATGCTATGATTGATATGATGGTGATGTCCTATGGTGCCCGTCGTCTCGCGCAAACGTATGGGATTCCCATTGTAGGGTGTTGCAATATGTTAATGATTTGCTTATAGTGGGTTACGGGAGTGATAGAAACATAAACCCGAGTTCGTGAGTTGTTGCGTATGGGATTAAAGGGGCCTTTTAACTTAGCGCTATGATTGGTTTAACCTTAATGAATCTTTGATAGTTGTGGATGCTTGCTAGAGTCCCAATAATAAGAACATATGGTACATGTACGGATAGTATGTGAGCTTAGATCTCTCCCTTATAAGTATGATGAGTATCACTATCGTTTCATATCGAGTTGCCCGGACAATCATTTTGTTTTTTGTTTTTTTACCAGTCAGCAATTAATCTTTATTTTCACGTTCTTTATTATCTTGCAAAACTACCTTTTCATTCCCACAAAGTACTTCAAGTTTTATTCTCACGGAGTAGTTTTATTTCTTAGTTTAAGTAAATAGAACGTTAAGTGTGCATAGAGTTGTATCGATGGTTAGAACTTGAGGAGATATTAAGTCTACCTTTACCTCCTCGTTAGGTTTGACTCGCTTATTGAAAAAGACTACAATTGATCCCATGCACTTGTGGTTTATCACGCCACCATCGATCTGCCTTGCCTCACGTGGCCTTAGGGCCATGAAGGCGCGGTGGATCTTGGCTCTTGCCGGTGGAAGGGGTCTTTCCTTTGTTTCGTGATGTGTCTTTCAGTTTGCTTAGGGTTTGTGTCCTTCTCAAAAAGACGAGAGGGCGGCGTCTTCATGAGGATGGAATAAGTTTTTCCCCGCCTAGCCCCCATCTTGGTGATGCGTCTAGCGTTGCCGGAGGGCATGTGAAGGCATGTCTCCGGCGAATCTGGCGGGATTTGGTCAGCGTTTGTCTTTGTTCGTCTGTGTTGGTGTGTCGACATATTGTATCCTTCCGATCTATGTTTCTCTCCATCACCGACGGTTGCTGTTCTGATGCGCTGGTCCTCTGTGGCCTTAGCACAACAACTTCCCGACTGTCTACTACAACAAGGTTTCCCGGCTCCAATGAGGGAGTGGCAATGACAGCGACGCGCGCCTTCTGCTCGCCCTAGTGCTTGTAGTCGTCGCTAGGTGGTTTACGGACTTGGATGTATTTTTTGTTACTTTTAATATTCTCTGTACCATACCATCATGGTGTTTGATAAATAGATTGAAAGTTTTCCCCGCAACTTTTTTAATTAAATTACAGATCTGAATCCGTGGCCAACTTTTTTGATAGAAAATTCTGCGCTCAACTTTACGAATCCAACAGGAGGAAATAGATTTGTTTTTGAATATTTTGAATACTCTAAGTGAGAAAATCCCTTTTCCACAACGCAACTAGGGTTCGTTGGTACTGTTTCCACAACGCAACTAGGAAATGTCAGACATGTCAAGATCAACGCACCTTCACCACATGACGTATCATTGAATGCGATTGCCTCACATGTCATGATGCAAGACAAACCATAGTCCATGTGGCTTAGGCTTAGCGCATAAACCGGCCATATATAAAAATGACAGTAGGCCAATGTAAAAAGGTTGATTAAAGCGACCCCGAGAAAAAAACACACAAAAGAAATAACGCAGTCGTAGACCGTGTACGGAGGTCGCCGTTGAGAAGTCTGACATGCCTTCCTCGGTACGAAAGCTGATTATAAAAACTTATAAAACATTCAGAAAGTCAGAAAGTACTAGTTGGACACAGTAATACCTCCCACGAATTTCCGTCGGTACATCGATTACAGGAAACAGTACCTTCATTCTTTGTGAGATATAGGAGTAGTGTACTTTTCCTTGAAATCTGTATACAGAATAATACGATTGGTCGCCGGTAAAGACAAAGAGTAGCTAGGGTACGCTATGTCTCGGTATGCTAATCCACAACTAGTTTATCTTTTCCTACTATAGTCTAGTACTAGTACTATAAGATAGTATGTTTATCTTGTTTTTTTTTAGGAATAAGATCAGTTTATCTTTAATTTTCTTGCAGACCGTGAGAGAGAGACAAGCCGACCGCGTGATCTGGCCCTTTGCGATGGTAGTGGTTAAGCGTTAGCTGGATGAAACTATATTTTACTTTTGAAAGATGTAGCTCAACCAGCGGCTGGGCGTACGTAAAGCTGGACGAATGCTACGTGTCAGGTGTATGTGCCGTCTCCTTTTCTCTTCTTTTTTTTTACTCGCGCATTACTATGATCGACCGCCAGTCCGCCACTGATATTAGTGGTGTGCGAACGAACTTTGTGCTGCTAAAACACCAAACTAGCAAGTGGAGTCAGTGACGCTCAACTAGCGACCCGGACGCGGGGAAGATTTCATGAGATTCAAACTGATGCAATACCCATTTATTTACTTCTCATGTTTCACCAATCCATGATAGAGTCTAGTAGTAGTGACTGGCGTAGATGCTGGACGGGAAGCACAAGACAAATGCATGGGTGGAAGGAATCAACTGAAGCTGGGGCAGACAGGCCCCTTGGACAGGCCAAGCCGAACCTCCATCCCGTGGTGCATGTCCGGTATGCGCAGGCTGTCAGAGTCTTGAGGCACTGCAAAGTGGACAAGCAAAAAAATATTAACACAAGCACTGATGAAATTTCTAGCAATGGAGACTGACATATACTCCATCCGATCCGACTTAATCGACACAGACATTGTATAGGGGCTGCGTCGATTAATTCGGATCCGAGGGAGTAGAATAGTTGCAATTTGCGTGGACAACCGTTGCACTGAAAGCCATCCATTTTCTTAAGCTATTGGGCAGACCTCATAGTGATAAGCACAAAGGAAAAGTGATGAACAGGGTGCACTCTTTGCCATACAAACCATATGCCCAACTAAGCTAGTGTTTTACCAACTGAGGGACACAAGCTTGGTTCGTTTACTGCCAACACTTTGTTGCCAGCTAGTATTGAATAGATTCCTCTAAAATATAATGAGAACCATATTAGCTACCTACCTTGTAAATACAGTTGTTGTTTTTAATAACATACTCCCTCCATTCGGAATTACTTGTCACAAAAATGGATAAAAATGGATGTATCTACAACTAAAATACATCTAGATACATTTATTTCTTGGACGAGTAATTCCGAACGGAGGGAGTACTAATGATCTCCTCGAGTATATTCTACAGCACAAATCTGTGCTGATGTAAGCAACCAGAGGTACGAAAAATGGGCAACAGAACCATTTTAGTAGATCAAAAAATCTTGATTTCCCAAGAAATCGTTGTTCCAGGATCACATCCCCATCAGGTCAATAAATTTTGCTCGAGTGTGTTGCACTGTGAGCAAAGAAGCTAGTACTCAGAAAAGCTTAGATAAGTCAAAAGATAACAGTCTATCCTAAGTCCTAACTCCAACTAATCAATTCATTACTAGCAAGTTTTGCACGAATGCTTGCAGAGTTATGAAGCAGCAAAGCAAGAGATTGATGCAGAACAAAAGGATGGCAATCCTTACAGTTAAGGTAATCTTCAAATCCAAAATCATCCAAGGAACCTGTCATTGCCTCATATCCTAGCATAGATGATGGCAATGCACCTGGGGGCCTTTGGAACCTGGAAACACACAAGTCATCAATCAAACATTTCTAGTGTGAGACAAAAGAGCTTAACGCCTATATATTTTTTAGAAAAAAAAATTAGGACAAGTACACATGAAGTTCAAAAGCGTATAAACAAAATGTAACTCGCATGTTCTCTGCTCTCTCTTGTCCTTGGATTGATGTACTAATTGCTAGAAGGAACATGTGGACAGATAAAAACCTCACGACATGTTTGTGCATTCAAACAAAAGAGATTCAGTTATTCCTAGGGCAGCAAACCCATGTGCTTGATCTATTCTATGGAAATACTCTTGGATGAAAAGACTAACAGAAGACCTCAAGTACCAGTCATAATATTGCAATTAATCATTTAAGCATGCAAGCATGCAGATTTAGATAAACAAAACATGCAGCACAAGAACTTAACAAGTAATTGTACCATACCAGAAAACAAACTTCGTGCAAACAAAATGTCACATGACAATATGAATACATTTGCAGCAAAAGAAAGCACTACATTTTATTTTAACGTCTTGTGCAGAACATCTTTACAACATGATGAAAAGCGTCACAAGATCAAACCTAGTATCCCAACACTGGCTCAACTGAGGCCTACTCAATCCAGCTTGAACAAAACCCAACATGACTACACAGTTGCAGTGGGGGCTAATTAGCACAGAGAAAGTACACATATCACCAACATGACTACATAGTTTGCTGAGGGGGCTATCTAACAGAGAGAAAACATGCATATCACTGCCAATAGCAAAGATATGGACGCGGCATTATGGCTCATACGAGTATATGATCCTATTATCTGGGCCAGACAATCTCCAGTGTGGATCCATGCCAATATGATTTAGTCTAGCAGGGCAAGCGACATAAATTGGTGTATTGAAACAGCTGTTTTATACATCTACGGTGGTAGCCCATACTGACGTCCTGAGATACGCTCTGGCAGGCCCGTTTGAAGGATGAAGCACTTCCGTTACCAGAAATCATGTACCGATGGTGCAGGTAATGCCTCGTAGATGGACCATGGTATAGAATAAAAATCATGCGATCCTGATGTTGTGTGGCTTCCGGTACCTACTCCCACTGCTCCTCTCCTTTGTCTTAATGTTGCAGGGGAGAGGACCTCAACACGACAGTCAAACGTGGGAAGGTGTCGACCTAACATACACGAAGCTAGCGGATGAGTCGATGGATTTTCCCGTAGATTCAATTTGCAGGTAAGATAGTTTGTTGCTGAAACGAATAATCTGTTTTCCTTGGAAAAACAAAACAGAATAATCTTAGGAACCTGCGTGGGTAGATTGGCAAAGACAAAGCAGATGCTGATGTCAGGAAGACACTAGAGGTTTTGATAAGACTGGAGCAAAGGATCCAGAATTCTTGTTTAAGGTTTATGCAAATCCGGAGAGTTGGATAAAGAATCTGATGTAGTAAACGGGCAGGAATTATAGGATGCAGTACAGGTGCTTTGATGATGTAATCATGTTTGACACAACTTGTAAAACTAACTTGTACGAACCATTCGTGTTATTTGTTGTTGTAGACTATCAACTCCAAAGTGTGATACTATGTACGAGGTGCACTATGAGCAGGTTGAGACCTTCGAGTGGCTGTTGATGGAGTTCATAAGGATGATGGGAAGGGCCGCACCTAATGTGATCCTAATTGGTACCAATTGCAATGTGCCTGGCCACCAGAAGAATACATCCCATATCGAATTTCCGGAAGACGATCCTAATTAGTACCAATTCATGTGATCTGGATAATAATGAGAGCATATAAATCTACGACCCATATCGAATTTCCGAGATATTAACACATGTGCTACAAATATTATCACATCTGGTTCTCAAATTAAGGTCAAATTCACGACCCCAACAAATTGCAGCTGCCTGATCGGATGGCTAAAATATTATGAATGCCCACATCAGCTACCAGCGACTCTTTCACTCTTAGTTAGCCAAAACCTATTTCCAGGAGGGGAAAGGAGGGGGGCGGCGAGAGAGCGAACCTGGAGAGGATTTGTGCGTCCAGATCGTTGCGGATGTTGAAGGCGGACCCGTAGATGGCCTCGGTCCCGAACCTCTTCTTCTCCTCCCAGAACTTGGTCTCCTGCGCGGCGCGTGCCCACGAAACAATCAGATTCAGAGCTAGCTAGGGTTTCGAGGTCCCGGGGGAAACGACGAACGGGCTCACCTTATGGATGGTGGCCTGGATGGGGTGCGGCGGCGCGAGGTCGCCCCTGATGCTGTCGTTGACGCCGAACCGGAGCACGTCGTGGGTCTGCCCGATCTCCTTCTTCGTCATCAAGCTCGCCATCGTCGCTGCTCAGGCTCAGGCTCTCTTCTTCCTCTTTCTCTCTCTCTTCTCTCTGGGGTTTCGCAGTGTTTTTTCTTTCTTCCTTTTCTTAGCAACAGTGTTTTTTCTTTCTTTGCGGAGAAGAAAAGGGGGGCAAAAAGAGGAACAGAATAGAGAGAACCTGGTCTGGGGCTCTGGGCTTGATGAATGCGTAACAGCCCGCTCGGGAAACGGGCCGGCCAGTGGCTCCCAGCGTAAAAAACTTGGCACGTTCGGTTTTTGCTCAGGTTTTTGTTAAATCTGGTTTTAGCAATAGCTCAGTTTATAGCCCCAACGTTCTTATTTTTCTGACTTCATTTCCTATCTTGTTCATTTTTTTATTTTTTTATGGTTTTCTTTTCCTTTCCATTATTTTTTCTTTCTTCCTTTCCTATTGCATTTTCCTTCTTTTTATTTTATTATTATTTTAAAAATATAATATCTTTTAGAAAAATACACATACACGGACATTTTCAATGAGCTACGTGCACAACTTTTTGGAGCATGTCAATACCTTTTAAGATTATCTGATTATGAACAGATTGCTCTCAAACCTATTACAGTAATGTTCAATTCATGCTAAACAATGTTCTCATCGCTCAAAAGAAAAGTTCATGCCTTACGAATAAATTACATTTGGTATATAAATAGTTACATTCATATTGATTCACTACGTAAAATTTTGCAAAAAAGCAAAAAGAGAGAAGTGCATATTTCAACCCCGAACTCTTGCCCTAGTCTAATTCACAACCCCGAACTCCAATACCATCTAAATTACAAACGTCAACTCTCAAAACGGGCTAGGATTCAACCCTTATCTCCCTATTGACCGGTTTTGACCCAGTTGACCCGTTGACTCATCAACTTTTTTTCTGAGAGCTACTCAGATATCCAAACATGATGAAAATTGACATGGACCTCACGCATTGAGACATCTTCCATGCAAAAAAATCATTTTTTTTGTTTTTTGCTTTACAATTTTTTTTGAATTTACTGTTCACCCGGTGGGGAAAATGATTTTTTTTATTTCTCATTTTTTTTATTTTTGTGAATTTACTGTTCGCCTTGTGAAAAGAATTGAAATTATTTTTGAATTTTTATTTTTTACATTTTTTTACTTTACTGTTCACCAATCAATGGGTCAAAACCGGTCAACTTGGTGAAAACTGGTCAACAGGGAGAGAAGGGTTGAATCTTGACTGGTTTTGAGAGTTGGGGGTTGTAATTTAGACAGTATTGGAGTTCGAGGTTGTAAGTTAGATTAGGGCATGAGTTCGGGATTGAAATGTGCACTTCACTCAAACAAAAATATACCCATTCCGTCCCGAAATAAGATGTGATTGACTTTGCACTGTCTTTGATGCACGACTTTGACCACTAATATATACACACATGGATTGCCCATGTATAAATGGCATTGTCATGTTTCTCTTACAAAATAAATTTATTTCATATGCCTGTATACTAATTCTATGGACATATAATACATGAAAATCATAGTCAAAGTTGTGCAACAAAAACCAGAAAAGTCAAACAGCGCCTTATATTCTGGGAAAAAGGGAGTAGGTCATAAGACCAAAAAATGCATTTTATGCGTACTTTACACTATAATTTTACGTTTGTAACTTTAAGTAACATAAAATATTTTTACAGCGATGATATATTTTCTTACGTTCTCTTTTTACGTATGAAGTAAGACAAAATTTACAGGACGCTGCATGGATGTTAAAGTAGGGGGGTGGAGTGAGGAATAACTATTCCTCGCTCAGGATAGCGAATACCGCGATAATTGCATACATTTTGTTGGTAAAGAATATTTATCAAGTTTTACAAAAAGCGCGTGGATTTTGAAAAAAAAACATCATGTATTTTTAAAATGCTCAATGCATATTGAAAAAATATTCATCATATATTTTTGAAGTGTTCATTGTGTACTTTCACAGAAAGATGAAAATGATCATCGTATTCTTATAAATGATCCAGTGTGTACTCAAAAAAGTGTTCATCATGTAATTTTGAAAACTTCAATCATATTCGCAAAAACTGTCCATTGTGTATTTAGTTTGTGATTTTTTTTTGAGTTCATGAACATTTTTTAAATCCGTGTTTTTTTTTTCAAATTTGCAAAACTTTTGAGAAAGCATAGGCTTTGGTACACCCCATTATATAGCCATCCATTTCTGCATCGCGATTAGTGCTAACACTTTTGTCTTTTTTGTTTCTTTCAAATAAAACAGCATATGAACTACAAACTTTGCAGGACAACAAAAAAATCTAACTAGAATGTGGGGAAAACTTTCAACTTTTTTCGTGAATCATATATACTAAAAATAATATTTTTACTAAAAAAAAGTCTCATTTTGTATACTTATGTCGGTCGAAAAAATCTGAAAGTTTTTTTTGCCACATTGTAGTAAGAATTTTTGTTGTCGTGCAAAGTATGAAGTTTGCATGTTGTTTTGTTTTGAAGAAACAAAAAAGAGAAAATTTCATGTAGTAAGTTAGTTGTGTAGCACAGATCTCAAAGCAGTATTGGATGGTAAGGATAAGAGGTGTCTGAAAGCATGAGCTTTAAAAATCCATGTCCCTAATTTGTGATTCTATTAGGAATTCATGAACTTTTTGAATTCACAAACTTTTCTAAAATTCACGAATATTCTAAATTCAACAGAAATTTTTAAAATAAGAAAAACAACCAGCGTTTTTTTGTGACGGAAGACTACCAGCAATAGAAAACGAACAGAAAAGCTAGCATTTAGTGAGCCAGTAGCCAATGCAGCAAACCCACTCGGGTGCACCACTCGCATACTAAACGTGCTGAGTGCTGACGAGGAGCTCTGATCACTGCCACTCTGCCTGCACCACCAAAGTGTGTCAAATGGGAACTCCTATTGGACGCGCTGTGCGCAGTGGGCCACACGCATGGAGCTGTGCATAGCAATGTTTTTTTTCTGCAACAAGCACAACAGCCAGTGGGTTTTCAATTAACTTTGTTGGTTGTTTTTATTTCGACCATTTTTTGAAAAATAAACAATTTGTGAAAAAACATGAAAATATTCTGAAATTCCAAACAATTTTTGAAAAATTTGAACAATTTCTGAAAATCTCAAATGTATTTTTTTGCGGGAAATCTCAAATGTATTTGGAATGGCAAAAAAATTGGAAACCATACATTTTCTTAAATATGATTATTTTAAATGGATCATTTTTTGAAAATGTGTTTTTAATCCCAATCAGTTATTTTTTTAAATCTGGAAAACTGAAAACAAAACCAAAAAAGGTAGAGAAAAACAACATAAAAAGATAAAAAGCAACACAAAAAATTCTAGAATTTTTCTAAAACCAGAGTAACTGGGGCCTACTAAATGGGCCGGCCCGAATCCCCAGCACTCCATGCGATCTAGCGACTAATGCATCAAATAGGGAGTAACTAACCAACGGTTATCCCTTGGGGGGCCTCCCGCAAGGGTCAGTTTTTTGGTATGTCAAGCAGCCAAGTGGTGCGTCGAGCCACTGCCATGTGTTGCATGCTAGGCGTTCCCTCTTGATTCTAATTTTTTATTATTCTATACGTGTTTTCGGGTTTTAGATGTTTTTTGTTATTTTATGATTTTTTTGTCAGATTTTTTTTAGATTTTTTAAAATATTTATTAAAGCACAACTGTGCTTCTTAAAAAAATTGTGCTTCCACGAGAAGCGTGCTTCTTGCTGAAACAAATCTGTACAAGCACAAAGAACACAATTGTGCTTCCATGAGAAGTACACCATGTGCTTCTCCTCGAAAAGGGAAAACCATAGCATGCGCTTCCGTGAGAATCATAACCTTGCTTCGTGAGTAGCACAGTCAGTGCTTCTGCGAGTAGCATGACCCGTGCTTCCCCGAGAGAAAAAGGGAAAAGCATAGCGTGTGCTTCCCCAAAAAAGTGAAAACTGCAAAGGTGCTTTCGAGCTTCGGATTTTTTTCTTCCATTTATTGTATTCGTTTTGTTGTTGCCCTTTTGGTTTTCTTTTTCTGTTTTCATTTTTTGTTTCTAGTTTTCTGGTGAAAATAATCGTCGAAAGCTATTAATAGGGAAAAAATGTCTTCGATCGTCTCTACCATGATGTCTGGTCCTGTGATGACTACTCCGTCTTGAAGAAGGATGCCATTGGAAGGATTGGATTATCTGGTTACCGGAAGTGCAAGGACGCATTATGAACACTTGCATATGGCACGCTCACAGATTCGCGGGACGAATAACTCTAGATGTCTCAGAGCACATGCAAAGACGCATGGTCAGATTTGCTACTGTTGTGGTCTCGGTGTTTGGAACTTGGTACTTGAAAGAACCAACTGTCGCAGACACCGAGAGGCTCTTGACAGTGTCCGAAGCAATAGAGTGGCCAGGTTCGCTGGGTTCTCTTGACTGGATGCATTGGAGATGGAAGAATTGTCCAAAAACTCTACAAGGGCAATATCGGAGCCATGTTAAGAAGACAACCATCATTCTTGAAGCAGTTGTATCACAAGACCTTCGGATTTGACACGCTTTCTTTGGCATGCATGTGTCTTGCAATGGCATCAATGTGCTACAACGGTCTCCATTGTTTGCTCGGCTGACTAAAGGTAAAGCTCCTCCTTGCAACTGCACCGTCAATGGGCATGAATACAAATGGTCTACTATCTGATTGTCGATATCTATCATTTGCGGGCTACCTTTATCAAGACCATCTCTGTGCCCGTTGGTCAGGAAAGATTTCACTTTGCCAAAGACAGGAAAGAGATAGAAAGAACATGGAGAGGGCATTTGGTGTGCTCTGGATGTTTTGTTGTTGTTCGTGGACCCGCTAAACAATGGGATCCGAAGACCTTGTGAAAAGTCACGACATGTTGTGTGATCATGCGCAACATGATCACGAAGGATGAGGGTGGAGATGTTGGCGTGGCTCATGAATTTTGAGAACATGGGTGATCCTATCGAACTTTCATATTAGAATCCGACGCCATTTGATGAGCTTTCTTAAATGCAGCAACAAATTCATCATCGAACAACACATGAGCAACTCAAGAAAGATTTGATTGAGCACCTGCGGGCGGTTAAAGAGGATAACTAAAAACATATGTGCTAGTTGATTTTAAATTTGAACTACCTTAATTTAAAAAGTTTGTTAGATTGTAAAGTTTAAATTAAAACTACGATTTGATATGTGTTATTTTGAGCTTGTGAACTTTTAAAAAAAATTGCGCTAGTTTTAAATGACGAGACCTGCTATCGTATCAGTGTCCGTGGATTGATTGCACGGACGAATATGGTGTCCGGTTTAGTGTCATGAAGAATTGAAGATGCTATGAGAATCGATGAGAAAACCAATGACTGAGCACGTGCGCACCCGTGCTTGCTTTTACCGGTGCAAGTTGCAATATACAGAGTCCCTTCCAAAAAAAAGTTGCAACATACCGAGAGGAAACAGAGCTGACTCGCCTCGCCTCGGATTCCACCACTAGCCTATGGGCCACGTTGTCAGCACTGATCAATCTTCGGATCGATGTCTCCACCCTAACTAACGGCCACACTATTATTTCCTACGTAGACACGAGAGAGCGAAAGCCAAACTGCCGAATACCATCACCTTGTAAGCACTATTATCGATGTCTTTTTATCAACAAGTTTGTAGTATTAGAATAGACCGGCGGACGCATAATGGAGCACAATGACCCCCACCAAACAAAAATGGCTAGGAATGGAGGAGACACGCCGTGCCAAGTGCCATCGTCGTCCCTACCACCGGTAGCCAGCCAGCCAGCCCTCCAATCGCTCGCGCTCCCGCGCCCTCACATGTCAATGTGCTCGCCCGCCTTGCAATTTGCACACCCCAAACCTCACCAACCGCCCATGAACCATACATAATTCGTTAGTTAGTTGCCCACAAACCATTGCTCATTTTATCCTCACACTCTCTGCGTGCCCACAGCTCACTCTGGCTAGCCAGCCAGCTTAGGTGCTCGGTCCATTTCAGCGCCATCCATCCTCAGTGCGTCGGTCACCACTGAGCTCGGCCATGGCGGGGGCGCAGCTGCGGCGCGTGGTGGCCGTGCTCCTCCTGGCCTGCTGCTGCAGCATGGCGCCGGCGGCGACGGCGAGGGGGATGTCGGCGGGGATCGCGCACAACATCACGTCCTTCCTCAGCGGCCACCCGGAGTACAAGCAGTACAACCGGTACCTGACGGAGACGCGGGTGTGCGACGAGATCAACGCGCGCGCGGGGGTCACGGTGCTGGTCCTCGGCGACGGCGCCATGTCCACGCTGGTGTCGGACGCCGGGGCCGACCTGGGCGCCATCAAGAACGCGCTCCGCCTGCACGCGCTGCTCGACTACTGGGACGTCAAGAAGCTCAAGGCCCTCCCCGCCGGCGCCGACACGCTCACCGACACCTTCTACCAGGCCGCGGGCGGCGCGGCCACCAGCGCCACGGGCAGCGTCAAGATGGCCAAGCTGGACGGCGGCGGCTTCGGCTTCGCGTCCGCCGCCAGCCCCGGCGACGCCTACGACGCCACCTTCGCCAAGGCGCTCAAGCAGACGCAGTACGACTTCGCGGTGCTGGAGGTCACGGCGCCCATCGAGTTCGACGGCCTCTTCGACGGGCCGACCGTCGCCAACCTCACCAAGCTGCTGGAGAAGGCCGGCTGCAAGCGCTTCGCGGCGCTCATCGCCAGCACGGGCGTGCTCAAGGACTACCAGGCGGCGATGGCGGACGAGGCCGGGCTGACCCTGTTCGCGCCCAAGGACGATGCGTTCCTGGGCAAGGGCGCGCCGGACGTGGACGCGATGCCCCGCGCCGACCTCGTCGCGCTCCTGCGGTACCACGCGCTGCCGGGGTACAACCCGAGGCCGTCGCTCAAGCTGGTGAAGGCGTCGGCCCGGCCGTTCCGCACGCTGGCGTCCACGGCGGGCGGGAAGTACAACGTGTCGGTGGTGGCCCGCGGCGACGACGTGTCGCTCGACACCGGCCTCCGCAAGTCCCGCGTGGCGGAGACGGTCCTGGACGACACGCCCGTGTGCGTGCTCACGGTGGACCGCCTCCTGATGCCCCTGGAGCTCTTCGCCGGCGCGCCCGCGGAGGCCCCCTCGCCGACGCCCGCGCCGGCGCCGTCCCCCGCGGACGCGACGCCGAGCTCCCCGCCGGCGCCGCCGCCAGCCGACGCCCCGTCGGAGGCCGCCGCGGACCACGTTCACAAGGACGTCAAGGCGTCGTCTGCCTCCGCGCTGTCGGTCGGCGCGCTCGCCGCGGCCGCGTGCTCCGCCGTGCTCGCCTCTCTACTGTGACTGTGAGGATGGGTCCGGTGAAAGCAGAGAGAGCGGTGGGGCGTCCCATTCCGGCCACATTCCTCGTCAGCCCATCACATTCTTCTTGTCATCCTCTTCAAGCCGTTGATCGTTGATTGATTGCATGAGCCGCAGCAATTTCCCTGTGTAATTCATGAAATTTCATGTGTACAATACATCTCGTTCTTTTACGTGCCGGTTTCAACAGAAGAAGAAAGCCGTTTGCGGAGCAGCTACACCGACACATCCCTTGCCATTTCCGCGCACCACTCACGCTCCATGATGAATAAACAACACCCGACGATACGGCGGCGACTTTACACGCTGCACAATGGAATTGTAAATTGGATGGAGCAGATCACGCATGTGGCTCGCTCTCGAGTTTTTAGTTTTTACTCCTCTTTGTCCTTGGATCGAGGTCGTCCTTGGTGCTGAGCAGGCAGCCCCACCACATGCAAATGCAACTGACGCCCATTTGCCGGGCGCTTCAAAATCCGGGGAGAAGAGGTCCAGTGCGCCTGCCATGCCATTCCACTCGCAGCCGGCCCCGGATCCGGATGAGCTGGCGCTATCAGTTCATACGGATTCCCACCAATTTTAATTACCGAGCTACTCCAAGTTCAGGACCACTGCTTGGTCTGAAATTACTTAACTGCAAGCAGACCAAAATAATAAACTCTGTAGCAACCAATAACACATACTCCCGCCGTCCCAAAATAACTGTCTCAAGCTTAGTATAAATTTGTACTAGAGCTAGTACAAAGTTGAGACACTTATTTTAAGACGGAGGGAGTAGTACAGTAACTAGTCTTCAGCAGGTAAATAAGATCATGCCGGAGCTACTTTCATTACAGACGAGAAATTAAGGCACACACTCTATGATGTGAAGTGAGCTAGTACTTGTAGAGTTGTAGTTGCAGAACTGCTGGGAGAAAGAAATGATTACCGTAGCACAGCACGGGGGAAAAGGTAGCATGGATGTACCGGTACTAGCTGCGTCGCACGATCAATGTACTCAAGGACCAATGTCCCCAGCTCCTGGCCAGTGGCCGTTGCTGAAGTGCTGTAGTATTTACACAAGAAATGACTACAATTCCATACATTGCACCTTGTGTGAAGCTGTGATCACAGGAAATATTTCTATATCCTGGAATATTTACACCCTATGTATTCTGAAGTAGCACTATATCTATATATTTTTTATAGCAGAAGCACTAGATCTTGAAAATGTCAGGCAATTGGGCAAACAAGCCAAGTTAGGGCCTGTTCGGAGACTCTCCGCTCCCCAAGTCCGCCCTGGAGCTGTTGCTAAAAATGACGGAGCGGGGAAAAAGGAGCTCCACAGATTCTGAGATTTCAGGGAGGGAGGATTGCCGAACAGCTCCTTAGTCTTTGGTGCTAGCGGCCCTCTCCTTCTTCTGACCGCCAAGAATCCGGGAAATCTGCAGACCTCTACTGAACGCCTGGTTGAACAGCATCCGCGTCTGGAACTCGGAGACGAAGGGGAACCATGAGAGGACAGTAATTGGTGTGAACAGAAGCATCCCCATGATAACCTCGTACGCCCGCGCAAGGGCTCGGACAGATCCCCATAGCCCCGTCACCCGGAAAAGAGGCCTGCAAGCTTGTGCAATCTGGAGGTGATAACAGAGCAACAGTAAGAAACCAACGGAAGCATAGGTGAAACAGAAGCAAGCATGCCACTGTCATGGTACTAGTAGTATATATGATATGATGAAGCAGACACAAGCAGGAGAAAGACTGACCAGCAGTATTCCCCATCCGGTGGGCAAGAATGCCAGGAAGCATACAAGTATGTCTTTTATAGTCATGTGAAGCAGTACTATCAGCACAACCAAAATAGCGAAGAACGAAACGAATATCATGAACTTGATCAGACGGAAGAACAGCTGAAAGTTCGCGCCGAACCTCCGCCTTCCGACAGATATGATCTGAAAAGACGGTAGGCAATTTAGGAAAGGAATTTAGCCAACGCAACTTTCAGAAATGGACGGTGTTGACAGGAAATCGTGTTGTTCTGCTATAAACATTTGTGTTGACTGATCCATGTTCTATTGACAAAGCAAGCATGCTCTCTCACCTTCAAAATAACCAGCATCGCCAAAATTACGAGCCATGAAATTAAGTAAACCTGGAAGTCACAAAATTGAAAAATGTTAAAGACCCACCCAACCACCTAGCACAGTCAAAATCAAAACACTGCTCTGAACTGGAGGAAAAGCATACCACGATACTTTTGTTCTCCTTTGTGATAGTTAACTGGTACACAAGGCCGTACTGATATATGAAAAACCGAAGGGACAAAATTATCTCAAAGATGATTCCGAGTGTTCCTGTATGCTTCAGATGCTCCTGCTCTATCTCCCACCAGGATTCCCAGCTCTTTTCTGGTGACACACCAATCCCACCACGATTGCTGATCCACTTATTCCAATCCGACCAGTCATCCAAAATTTTCGCCCACTCAAACCCCGAGGGGTTGAATAAAAAGGGTGCAAAGAGCCATGTCAACACTAGGAACCACATGGAGGACGTAACAAAGATATATGCGATGGTTGAGTGGGAAGTTTGGCCAAATAGTTGATAAACGATGAGCAGAGTCATCAACTCGATGCCTTTAACAAAGTGGCTGCGAGAATATAGCCTGTAGTTTTCTGCAAACTTTGCATGAAAGACAACAAATCCCCTGCCGGTACTTCTGTATTGAGCACCTCCATGAAGCAACATACGTCCATAATAGTGAGTCTTGGTACCAAGTGAAAATGTAAAGAACACGGATGCCAATTGCAAGTTCATCATTATAAATTCACTTAGTGCCTTGCCAAATCCTTTTTCAAGGCCAATTTCCATCATCATGGGCAGGGCCATCAGAAAACCAAGCTGAACAAGAGACTGCGAGGCAAGAGCAACCTGAAGAGCATGATTATGGCTGAATTTCCGTTGTGTTGCAAGCCCTTCTTCAAGTCCACTGAGAGCAAGATAAAGGCGCCCATACAGAAACACATAAACTGTGAAGACTGTCAACTGAGAGGAGTAAAAGGCGTTAGAAACAACTATAGTTCATTGTACTGATATACTCCAAATGCAAAATACAAGTCGTTGTGAACATATAAATATAATATAAATGAGACAAATATGCCCCTTAAGCTGTAAACAATCTCTACAGAGAGAAGTTTGTAGGGCTATAAAGATTCATATTTGCATTTGGCAGAGAAACTTGTATGGATATATTCAGAACAAAGTGATCATACCAGTGTACTGAAATAAAATCCCACTGTGGTGAAGTAGCATGAAAGCATTCTGAAGAAATCGAACCGATGCCCAAGACGGTAGATATCACGGCTAAGGGTCTGCTCGCCATTTCCATTTGCCACCTTAGCCTCAAACTTGGAGATCTGATTTAGTCCTACATCTCGTCCCTTGCCGACTTGCACATATTCATGATGTGTTACATTGCCACCACGAAGAGTTGAGTTAAACCCTAAAGTATTGAAGACAATATGAATCAAAATATAATACTGATATCTATTTTGTTATCTCTTGCAAGAAAACATCTTTAATGACTACCCTGTTGGCTTTTATAAACACTACCCCCTGAAGCCTTGATCTTAAGAACATCATTGATCACTCGATAAAATCATGTAACAAACCTGCAAAAATATCTTCACTTAAGTTGATACTCCTTGATGCCTTACTGACACCACCCCTCGTTAGATGGAAAAGCCTATCAAATACATCCGGGTGGCCATAGTGGAATCGAACCCTAGACAAATTCAGTAATAAACTTAGATACAATTCAAAAAGGAGAATTCATTACACAAATGCAGGATCTGCTAGTTGAATCAAGCAAATAATGAATGAATTGGTAGAAGAGAACAATATGAAAGTAGACACAAATGATGGACAGTATGAAGTAAATGGCGACACAGAGGAATAAGCATGTCATAAGAAATCACTGCACAAGTGGACAATACGTTGAAAGATACATGTTTTACTTCCTTGGTTTTATTCATAGCCCTTAACTGTTTCCACCCAGTAGTTATAAAAATTCAATCTAAGACTTGCTCTCTCATAGAATTTTTGGATAACCGCATGTATGACAATTCTTGTGGAACATGAATGCTTGCACTCCCGTCTTATTTTTCGCACTAACTATTGCGAAATAATAAGGGACTAAATAGAATGTACTATTAATACTTTTCCGAATACTTTGATACTCAAATAAATACTGTGTGTGTGTGTGTGTGTGTGTGTGTGTGTGTGTGTGTGTGTGTGTGTGTGTGTGTGCGCTCTTTTTACAGTAGTTGACACACTGCCAGAATAAATGTACAGAGTGTTTTTCTAATCATTGAAATGTATGAGTAAATGTATAGTGAAATATTTAATAGGAGAAGATCTCACTTCAGAGGGTTTGCAAGCAGCCGTTGTCCAATAGTCACAAAACTGTGCTCCTGATTTGACATAAACCATGCAAGGGAGGAGACACTGCACCATGGGAGACAAGAGAGGTTTAAGATGCATAGATAACAGAAAATAAAATCTCAATTGTACTACATTATTAATCAACCTGCCAGTAAAAATATGCTCCCTAACTCCAAGTATAGATGGCTGCCGGATTCCATCTTCTGTAAGGAACTCTTGAAGCAAGTTTCTCATTTTAAGTGCTTCTTCCATATAGTTATCCTACGAAATTAATGGCGTGATAACAAACAAATGAGTTCTTACTAGAAGCATTAGTACAATTTCATAAGTAAAAGCACCATAAGCATGATAGGAGATACCTGGTTCATGTCTATTGTTTGCAGGCCTTCACCACGGGTGAAAATTATTGCATGGTTTTGATTTTCGGGTTTTCCTTCTCCCAATATTGCAGGGCCTGGAAGTTTTATTCGGTAGATAACCTTGGAAACATAAAGATGTGCTCAGATGGTAGAAATGTCACATGAGTCATTTATACAAACAAAAAAGAGTACTCATCC